TATATAATGCTACTGCACACTTAGCAGACTACAACATAGTGTGAACCTAATTTTCATATGCACTGAGAAACAAAAAATTCACTGACTTTACTATGACATTCACTTTATTGCAGTGGTCTGGAATGCAACCCACAGTATTTTTGAGATATGCCCATATACAGAACAATGGAGTTTACAGGGACTCTTAGAACCAAGTTCAGTAATTGCTAGGTAGAAAAATATACAAGAATCAATTATATGTCTTTATATCAACAACATAAATAGTAAAATATTTTAAGGATGCTATTTGCAATAGGAGTAAAAGCTCCAAGTAACCTATGAATAAATTTCACCAAAGATGTAAGACTTATGGAGAGTATTGCAAAACTTTAGAGAACCTAAGAAAATGAAGTCCTATACAACACTGATAGAGAGGAAGATTACTGTAGACAGGCAATTGTGTAGAGCATGCCAGGTTGGAATTGGAAAGAGAGACAGACAATGCAAACCCAGCCAGGAGAATGTCACCAGCCTACTACTGACATGTGAAAATGAAGATCCAGCATTGTTAAATCCCCTGCTTTTCTGAGAGAAACTAGAAATCCAGATTTCTATAAGAAGTTTCTTGATTTTTATATGTTGGCAGCAAATTCAAAACAACTTTAAGTGCTCTGCAAGACACACAAAACATACCTGTGGAAGAATTTGGCCCCTGAGCCACCATCTTTACTCCAGCAATGTACCCAACGCCTCAAATACTCAACTTTATTTCTGGGTTGTACTTAAGTCAGACATGTGAAAGGTTAGAAACCCAATAGGAAATCTATCACTACTTTTGTTGTAAAACTGTTGAGGATATTGTTTCCTACATTATTAAGAGATTCCTACATAAAAGACCCATATAAGAAAATCTTTTAGAATTCTGAGATTTTTTCAAAAAACTTTGTTTACTATTCTTGAGGAATTAGTAAAAATCAGTAATATTTGAGTTTTTCATGTATAAACCAAAATAATTTAACATTTATTTATTTATTTAATCTTCATAATGACCCTATTATTAGGACTGTCCCCATTTTATAGATGAGGAAACTGGGAGAAGAAAGGTTAAGGATCTTGCTCAAAATCACACAGACAGTAAAGTAACAAAGCCAGAATTCACATCTAGGTAGTCTGGTTCCTATAGTCGTGCTCTTAAATTCTAGTAATAACAACCTCATAACTGAATGTTTTCTTGACTCAGCTGCCTCACCAACAGCAACTACACTAGCCTTGTGTTTTGAATTCTTCCTTCTCCCAAATCCTACTTTCCACTGTTCTTTTTCTCTTTTAAATAGATACTGGTCAAGGGGTTAACATCCAAAATATATAAAGAACTCACACACCTCAACACCCAAAAAGCAAATAACCCTATTAAAAAATGGGCAGAGGATATGAACAGACACTTCTTCAAAGAAGAAATTCAGATGGCCAACAGGCACATGAAAAGATGCTCCACATCGCTAATTATCAGGGAAATGCAAATTAAAACCACAATGAGCTATCACCTTACACCAGTTAGGATGGCCAACATAGAAAAGAATAGGAACAACAAATGCTGGCAAGGATGAGAAGAAAGGGGGGCCCTCCTACACTGCTGGTGGGAATGTACACTAGTTCAAACATTGTGGAAAGCAATATGGAGGTTCCTCAAAAAACTAAAAATAGAAATACCATTTGACCCGGCAATTCCACTTCTAGGAATTTACCCAAAGAATACAACTTCTCAGATTCAAAGAGACATATGCACCCCTATGTTTATCACAGCACTATTTACAATAGCCAAGATATGGAATCACCCTAAGTGTCCATCAGTAGATGAATGGATAAAGAAGATGTGGTATATATACATAATGGAATACTATTTAGCCATAAGAAAGAAACAAATCCCACCATCTGCAACAACACAGATGGAGCTAGAAGGTATTATGCTCAGTGAAATAAGTCAGGCAGAGAAAGACAAATACCAAATGATTTCCCTCATGTTGTGGAGTATAACAACTCCGTGTTGTAGAGTATAACAACAAAGCAAAACTGAAGAAACAAAACAGCAGCAGACTCACAGACTCAAAGAAGGGACTAGTGGTTACCAAAGGGAAGGGGTAGGGGAGGGTGAGTGGGGAATGAGGGAGAAGGGGATTGTGGGGTATCATGGTTGGTGCACATGGTGTGTGTGGGGTCATGGGGAAGACAGTGTAGCTCAGAGAAGACAAATAGGGACTCTGTGGCATCTTACTATACTGATGGACAGTGACAGCAATGGGGTATGCAATGGGGTATAAGGGTGAATGTAATAACCACATTGTTTTTGTGAAACCTTCCTAAGAGTGTATATCAATGATATCTTACTAAAATAAATAAATAAATAGATGCTGGTAACATAAGCCATCTCAAATCCTTTCTATAGCAGGACAGAAATAAAATAATTAGTTAATAAACTTGACGCAAATATTATTTACAGATTTAAGGTAACGCAAAAGAATGAGTTAAGTTTTAGAGTTATACAAGGTCAAGGTCTAATCCCCTCCCTAATATTTATTAACTGTGTGAATTTAAACAAGTAATTTAAACTGTGAATTTCAGTTTACTCATCTGTAATATGAAGGTATTACCTACTTCATAGGTTTTACTGTTGAAATTTAAATAAGACTTTTGAAATAATGGCAACTAGAAATTTTTTAATTATACATCTAGTTCTTATTTTATTTCTGTTGGACAGCATCATGCTGTAAAAAGTAAAAAGAAACAGGTGTAGTTTTAATAATTTTATTTAACTCAATATATCTAAAATATTTATCATTTCAGCATATAACCAACATAAAAATTATTAGATATTTCACATCTTTTGTACTAAGCCTTCTAAATACAGTATGCGTTTCACACTTACAGCATATTTCAATTTGTACACTACAAATCAATCAAAAAATATTTTAACTGTATTTAGACTTCATTAAATTTACAATTCATTGAGTCACATACCCAAGCTGTCTAAAACATATTTGAAAGCTTTCCAGTAATTGCATCAAGTACCCCAAAATTTATTTTCCTTTAATATTTGCCTCAGTTGGACTAGCCACCTTGCAAGAGATCAATGGCTACACAACTAGCAGCTGTCATAACAGTGTGGGTCTAACAAATAAAATGCAATTAAAGGGTGGCTGTTTTTATACATAATTAAATGAAAATAGTGTTGTGATTCATACTTGCAGGTGAGAGAATCTACATATGAACTTTTTTATCGGTACATTATAAAGGAAATTCTGATGGGTGGTATAACAAATTACTGATCGGCTAAGATTATGACTTACTTAACTATAGGCAACAGAATAACTTAAAATTATGCTTCCTGTTTTCATTCAGAAAAATATTTGTTGTACCAAAATATCTGTACAGTTTCCTTGAGTAGAAACTTTCCACCTACTAATTAAATGTTTTATCAAGTAATTAAGTTTCAAAATACCCCAAAAAGGCCATTTACATAGACCTAGAAAGTACACTTTACTTGAAAATATTACAGAAATCAATCTTGGAAATATGTAAAGACAGTGAGCTCTTTTACGAAATGAAGTATTACTGAAGTCTTAAATCTATACTGTGATTTTAAATTCAATTTGCGTTTAAAGATTGTCCTTGGGATATATAAATCTGTTTCCATGATGTTAATAGTGGTCATTTCTGACTTGCCTTTAAATTTTGTAGCCAACATATCAGGTTTCTATAAATCTAACCTGATGTGCCTACTTAAAATCAAACAAGAAAATATGAACATCTGTTTTCTTTACACATTCTATCATGCACTAAATGGATAACCACCTGGATCAATTTTCGATGTGGGAAAAGCCTGTAACAGGTTTATTTATAGGAGACAGCTATTGTTTTTGCCTGCCTAATATTTGGTCCTCCTTTTCTCTGATAGTAACACTTCAATTTTTCTTGGGGGAACTAATGATCTCACTGTTAATCATGTCCATTTCTAGAGGCTGAGATTACTCCCAGCCTCAAGATAAACATAAAACTAACCCAAATGAGTCTGATAAAATTCAATCCCATTACTTTTTTGTTTTAACCAGGGGTGAAGGAATCTCCTTCCAACGAAGTTAATAAACTGAACAGAAGATAAACTGGTGGCCATCTTTCCTGATAAATTACATATATTAAAATATTAACAACAGTTACCTTTGAAAAATGGGAATATGGGTGGTATTTTTCTCCTACCTAATGTTGCACATCATTTCTTTTAATTTTATCATCTGTAAAAAGATTATTTAGCAAACAGTATAGTTCTTAAATTAAGTGAAATAAAATTTAACAGTATTAATAAGAATTAAAAAATAATCCTCTATACCCTTCTGGGATTCAATCCCCCTTTATCACGTACGAATGTGGAAAGAAAGCACTTACACTGAGAATATCATGCCCAAAGCCAAGACTGACCATATAAAATAAAATGCATGTGTGTATGGGAGAGAACTAGGAAGCAGACCCGCACAGTGGTTATAGCAATCAAGGAATGAAGTAATTATGACAAAAATCCTTAAATGCCATTACTTGGCAACCACTTAATTTCTTTTACTTAAAAATGTCTGGCAAGAGTGTTCCTCCTTATAATATTGTACACAAAGAAAATACTCAGGGAAACATTCAGCAAACATTTGTTAAATAATCATTACAGTCCAGGTCCTCTGACAAAACAATCTACTGGTTAATCCTGGTTAATCTTGAAGTAAACTAGCTGCCACCATCAAAACATACTCTAACCCACACAGTGAGATTCCCAATGGAAAGGGCATTTGATGGCAATATCATGCCCTTCCATGTCTGTAGTTTTCTCTCTGAATTCTATTCTCAGTTCCACACTGATCAGACTATAAGGCTATCAAAAGTATCCATCCTACCTAACAGAAAAAGATTGACACTTTTTCCCCCTGAGCTACTGTCATTCAAATGAGAATACCCTTGCTAGATGTGGTCTCACCCCAGCCTACCTGTCCAAAGTGAGCAGGGTAGCCCAGCATGTGCATATATAGTAATTTTGCCACATTCCGACATCGGTATGTATTGTCTTCTTCTCTAAAAGATGACCGGATTGCAGCACATTCCTTCTGGATCATTTCTCGTTCTTCGGCTTGGGTTCGGGCTGTCCGGATGGTCCGGATCAGCTCCCGCAATCGGATGGGGGCTGGCATCCTCTAGATATGGAAAGACATTAAATAAAAATGTTCACATTTTTTACTACCAAAATCATTCACATAACTTCCCACACAAATTTCTGATTTCTAAGAACTCAAGACTTGCAAAGTCCAGTGATACAAAGCTTCAGCAAAGGTATTACATACAATCTCCTCAACTCAGTTAACTTCTGGAAAAACGAACAGAATGTTAAGTATTAAAATTAAGCAAAACAAGACACAGACTACAACAATATGTAAAGTCCATCACTAATACTGAAAAATCTTAAGAACGCAACCCAAATTTTATTCAACCTTTAAAGTAATAAGGAAAGGTATATGCCTAACCCTAGAGAAGATAGATATTTTCTGCTCAATTGTTAAACTCAACACAGCTTAACAACGTATCAGATGAATATTGAATATGATCACAACCAAAGCTCAAATCAACAAAATGATGAGGAGAGAATAAATGTCAAATTTAAATACCTTTCCAAGAAATAATAATCATCTCAGTGTACTGGGTACTCTTTGAAAATGTGATAGGGAAAAAATAATAAAACCAATCTCAGAGGATAAGTGTCATAGTCTCATGAAGATTATTTAAAAGTTAAAAAGATAAAAGGACCTATCATAGCCAAAACAATTATAAAAAAGAAAAAGAACAACATTGGATGATTTTCACTACCTAATTTCAAGACATACTACAGAAATATAATAATCAGGATAATGAGAAACTGAGTTTAAGGTTAAGGAGACTTGGGGAAAAACAGAGCAAGACAGGAAGTTTAGGAATAGAACCAGAAAAATATGTCCTACTGATTTTCAATAAACAGCCCTGGTTATTCAACAGGAGAAGGGGTAATCTTTCAATAAATGGTGCTAGCACAACTGGGAATTTAAGTGGAAAAAGAAAATTGACCTTGGACCTTAACCTCACACAATATACAATAGTTAACTCAATATGGGTCATGGACCTAACATCAAACTAAAAAAAAATCTTCCTTAAGAAAACACAGGAGCAAATATTTGGGAATATAGGTTAAGCAGATATTTCATACAGAACAAGGAGACATATAAAAGAAATCAATATACTGGACTTTATAAAAATTTTAAACTTTTACTCTTCAAAAGATGCAAATAAGGCAAGCCATGGAAAAAGAAGAAATACCATTCCTATCTTATAAAGGACTTGTATTCAGAATATATAATTTTACAACTCAGAAGTAAAACAATCTTTTAAAAATGGGTAAAAAAATTGAATAAACACTTCTCAAAAGAAGATGACATATGAATTGGCCATAAGCACATGAAAAGATGCTTAATGCCTTAGTCAGCGGGGAAATACAAATCACAACTATAATGAGATATAACTCCACATCATTAGAATGGCTAAAATTGAAAAGACCGGTCATACCAAATATTAACAAAGTTACAGAACTAATAAACTTTGATAGACTGCTAATGGGAACGCAAAATGCCTCAACTACTTTGGAAAACAGTTTGGCAATTTCTTATAAAATTAAATATACACTTAGCATATGATTTAGCAAACACAGTATTCATCCAAGAAAAATGAAAATCAAATTTATGTGTTCTCACTGAATCTGTACACAAATGTTCCTAGAAGCTTCACTTACAATTGCCAAAAACTGGAAACAGCCCAAATGTCCATAAGCAGGTGAGTGATAATGGTATATACATAGAAAGGAATACTTCTTAGAATAAAACATAACCAATACACAACATGGTACAGACTCAAAAACATTCTGCTGAGCAAAAGAAGCAGGCATGAGAAAGTTCATATTGTATAATTTCATGTATATGAAACTCTAAGAAAGACATCTAATCTACAGTGATGGTAAAGAGATCAATGATTGCCTGGGGTAGGGATGTGGGCTAATTAACTGGGATGCAGGGAAACCTTCTGGAGTGATAGAAATGTTTGTGATGAGTATATGCACTTCTCAAAACTCACCCGAGTGTATACTTAAAACAAGTACATCTTATTTTGTTGTATATATACTTCAATTAAGAAAAAAAATGGGACAAAATCAGATAAAAGATATCATTACAATCATCTTCAGTACATATTAGCTGTGGAATCCTTAAACCAATGATTCTCAAAGTTGTTCTTATAAACACACCAGGAAGATATGCCACCCCATCTGTTCCCTCAAGATAGGAATAATGCATTAAGAATTTGGAAAAGTTCCCTAAGTACTAATATGCTCCTCCATGTTAGCCCTCTAAGACTGTGTGTCCTAAAGCTACCTGTATAATATTGTACTTTTTCAAAGAAATACTGGAGGGTTTCAAGTTTACAAAGCACTTTTACGTTCATATCTTCATTATTTCACTTGTTCCTTGGACTGTTCTGAAGTAAGGGCAGAGATCATTAGCCGCACTTTGCCTATGAAATGGTCTCAGAGCAACTATGCAGACTGCTCAAGATCACAAATGAGGTAGGTGACAGAGGTAGCACCTGAACCAGGTCTTAGAACCCTAAGGCTAGAGTTCTTCCCAACACAACACTTCAAAAATGAACATTATCTTTGCAGATGAAATAATATGATTGCTAGGATTTGATTTTAAATACTTCAAGAAGAGGAAAGATGGTGGCATGAGAGGTGAGACAGAGCCCTTCTCCTAAAACTGCATATAACATGAAAATATAATTAATACAACTAATCCTGGAAGAGCAACAGGGAAGAGGGCTGCACCAGACTGCACACACCTGGAGAAAAGAATACACCTCACAGAACAAGGTAATGTACCAAAGCCAATGCAGGGAGGACCCAGGCCCTTCCCCCAGCCCAGCTCACCAGCTGGAGGAAGAGAAATGGAGCAGGGAGGGAGTGGAGGCCTGGGACTGCTGAACACCTAGCTCTGGATACCTGCTCTGGGAGCACAAACCTACATTGCATGGAGCTCTGGTGATTACCAGGTTTGAAAGCTAAGACAGGCAGAATACCTGGACAGACTGAGATTCCAGCCATGTGTGGAAAACAGGGATCCATATCTGGCTGCTCTGGGACAAAAGAAAGGCAGGCAGTCTGAGAGACATCCTAACAGCAAGAGGGCTGCTAAAGGGGCAAGGATTACCCAGAGCTTACTGCTCAGGAGAAAGGACAGGTAGACAAAATTATCTGGGTACACTCTGCCCAGCAGCGTGGGAACTTTCACAATCTTCAGGTGCTCCAGCCCCCTGGCTGGCTATGCAGCTCCAAGGCCCCCCTCCATGATACACAGCCTACTGCACCATCCTCCCAGCCAGCCCACACATGGCTCACAAACCAGCAAACCAAGCCCTGGCATCAGGCCACCCACAGGGAAGCCCTGACTACAGCAGCTACAAACGCAAAGCATAGAGGCTTATACCTGTGTGCTCAGCCAACTGGTTCTGGCAGTGGAGACAGGCATAGCAGCCAGGAAGCAGGAAACAGCTCTTTCCTCCCCACAGGCACCAACACCGCTCCCCTGCAACCCCCGACATTGCTCCAGGGACTGAGCAGCTCCAGAGAGTAGAGCTTCTGGGCACTAGAGGGTGCCGCATATAAATATGAAACGTCAAAGGAACCTGGTTCAAAGAAAAATCATAAATATACCAGAGAAAGAGTCAAATGAAATCGACCTCATGAATCTTCCTGAAAGAGATTTCAAAATAAAAATCATGAACATGCTCACAGAGGTACAGAAAAATATTCAAGAACTCAGGAATGAATTATGGTCGGAGATCCAATCATTATGGAACACAGTTTCAGAAATTAAACATACAATGGAAGGTTTTAAAAGGAGATTAGATACAGTGGAGGAGACAAGAAACAAAATAGAAATTAGAGAAAAGGAACAGAGAAAAGCTGAGGCACAGAGAGAAAAAAAGGATCTTTAAGAATAAAAGAATATTGGATTGGGTGACCAATCCAAATGGAACAATATTCGTATTATGTGGGTACCAAAAGAAGAGAGAGAAAAAGGAACAGAAAGTGTCTTTGAGGAGGTAATTGCAGAAAACTTCACCAATCTGGGAAAGGAGATTGTCTCTCAGGCCATGGGGGTGCACAGTTTCCCAACACAAGGGACCCAAGGAAGACAACACCAAGACATGTAATAATCAAAATGGCAAAGATCAAGGATAAGGACAGACTATTGAAAGTAGCCAGAGAGAGAAATAAGATCACATACAAAGGAAAGCCCATGAGGCTAACTAACATCAGACTTCTCAGCAGAAACCTTACAGGCCAGAAGGGAGTGGCATGATATATTTAATGCAATGAAGCAGAGGGGCCTCAAACCAAGAATACTCTACCTGGCGAGATTATCATTTAAATTTGAAGGAGGGATTAAATAATTTCCAGATAAGCAAAGGCTGAGAGAATTTACCTCTCACAAACCATCTCTACAGTGTATTCTAGAGGGACCGCTATAGATGGAAGTGTTCCTAAGGTTTAACAGCTGTCACCAGAGGTAATAAAAGAACAATGAAGAAAGTAGAACAGTTAATTACTAAGCATATGCGAAATTAAATCAACTACCCCAAAGTCAATCAAGGGATAGACAAAGAGTACAGAATATGACACCTAATATATAAAGAATGAAGGAGGAAGAAAAAGGAGAAAAAAAGAACCTTTAGATTGTGTTTGTAATAGCATACTAAGTGAGTTAAGTTAAACTCTTAGATAGTAAGAAAGTTAACTTTGAACTTTTGGTAACCATGAATCTAAAGCCTACAGTGGCAATAAGTACATACCTATCAATATCACCCTAAATGTAAATGGTCTGAATGCATCAATCAAAAGACATAGAGTCACTGAATGGATAAAAAAACAAGACCCATCTATATGCTGCCTACAAGAGTCTCACTTTAAACCCAGAGGCATACACAGACTAAAAGTGAAGGGGTGGAAAAAGATATTCCATGCAACTAATAGGGAGAAAAAAGCAGGAACTGCAGTACTTGTGTCAGACAAAACAGACTTCTTCAAAAGAAAGAAAGTCACAAGAGACAAGGATATTACATA